GGCACAATGCTAGACAATAGTGGCCGCGTGAACACCGGCGTTCCTTTCAGCACAACGTCCACTGATTTACATGACAACAACGAGTCTGAACACAGAATCCAATGCGATTGTAATGTCGCCGATTTGCACTTCTATAGTCCCAGCTCGCTTCAGCGCACTCTAGTTCACCTAACCCCTCATTGTGATTTTTTTCGTCACGGACATCACTACGTATGTCATTCAATGAAAGCCGCCGATTCGGCGTCCGTGTTAGACAATTGCTTAACGGCTCTGATAATACACCTGCCGACGGATAATTGAAATCATGAAAGTCGCTGCACAGAACAGCAAGAATTGATCAAGTTGGCCTCGCGGAACAAAGATGAAAACATGATTAATATTGTGTGCTAATTTGGGCTCATGCCGCAAAGTTATACGATTTTTATTAGATCAAAACTCGAAACTTATCGTCAGGTTGAAGTTGAGTGGAGGCTTTCGAAACCGATACTTACCAAATTCTGTCAATACGTTTAGCAAAACTATATAATTTTTGTCAACTGGAATCAATACAACAAATGCAACTCTCAAACGTTAGTTAAATTTCCTTATCGGAAATTGGTTCCTAAACCTTTTAACTCCGTGTGCACATAAAATTGAGCCTCATACAGTTTCAAAATAGGCGAACTGCTGGCCTCAACAGGCCTGCAGGAATGCTGAGTCGTCCGAAGGACATATATACAGTAGCGGTCAAAAGTGTTCGCCGAAACGATTTTTAGTGCATTATTTTTCTCGCTTGAGCAACGCCCTCCAAAGATTGATATACTATGTTTTTTAGTGTTTTTATATCCTCAAGTCTTAAAGAATCAGAAAAAAATCACAATATCCAAAAGAAAAAAAAACACGAGGACACTATTGATTTTTCTGGCAGAAAAAAAAGAAGCACGCTTTTGACCGCTACTGTACCACCCTATTCATAAGTCTTAGTCCGGCAAAGAACGGTTAAAGAGTTCCATTATGTAAAAATAGTTGAGCTTCTAAAATAATTTTAGTTCTGAATTAAAAAAAAACGCTAAATCATTTTGAGCTCATCGGTCCTATTTAAAATGTGCCACGCAGCCCACTCCCTTTCAGAACCCTAGAGGCACCGGGATTGCGATTTGGCCTACACAATGACCTGCGGCGGCCAGCCGATGTGTTTTCATGCATCCTGCCAAACAAGTTACTACCAAATAATTGGCACCTTAGGAATGGAATGACTTGGTTGGCCTGGACAGTGTACGATCCTAGATTTGACCCCAGACCGTACACATGGTAGCGATGTCACATGCTTTCAAGTCACGTCCGCCCCATTTGGAAAATAAGAAATCTAAACTACGCTGTACTGAGAAATTATCCATTTTTATTGCCATCAGTGTTCAAAACTACAATTTCAGAGTTACTCAAACTACAATATGGGCTGGAAGATTCATGTGGTAAATGAATTCCCTGCAACTATTGCTGATATCAAGGAAGAACCGTACGTCTACGAGCAGTGGCTGCAAACGCAGTCCGTTCAAGCACCACATACAGCGTCTACATCCGTAGTCGGACTCACTGCCGGTGCTCTCGTGTTGGTCGTCGCTTCGTGGCTATTCTGAGATTGTTGCCCCGATCTCAAAGCGGGTGTTCTAGCCACAAACTTTGTTCTTTCATTCAATTATGGGGGTTCATTTAGCTCTCGAGTTTTCTTTGTCTCATCGATTACGATTATATCAGCTCTACATATGTGTGTATTGTGGGTGTGAAACGTTTGTTCCAATACGATGCCGCGTGAAGTAAGCGCTCGCCGCACGCGACATAGTGCGACAAAACTGCGCGGCACATTCGCAAAGTAGCCATTGGCGCGAAATTCTGTCGCGCGCGATGCACTGCTGGAATAAACGTTACATGCCCTTGTATTGTTGATGCGAGTTTTTTTGTTCTAGTTCATCACCGCCGATGTGTTTCACTTGCAGAACTCCACTATGAGAGCGATAACACTTCCCTCTATGACCGTACATTCATTCAATTTCCTGTCTGTCTTCTTCCTAGTGTCATAATTATATTCTACTTTTACTGCTAGTGCTAGTAAAATGATCGTCTTGTGATGTTTGTGAAGAGTTTTGTAAGTGTAGCTAGCTTGATTGCGCGTTTTTTGTACACATTTCCCTTTACAAATGGCTCATTCCACTTATTACTTATTTTGCATGAAAACATATGTTCTACGATGACATCACTATTGCTGTTGTACAAGAATGTCCTAGGATTTCAATTGTGCCCCAAATGTTTTTATCACTAGGATGATTACAATAATAATAGTGGTGTTGTCCGTCTAGGCATAAAAAGTTTTACAAGTGATGCGTTGTGATAACCACTTACAAGGTACACTGCCTCAGTGAGAATCACTGTTGAAATAGGTGGAAAGTGCGCGTGCGGTCGCGAGACGGCTCAAGTGGAGGTGCATTTGCGATGAGTGTATTGCAAGTCGTCGCGCTAATTGATACCCTGAATATTTGTTGCTGATTGTGTACAACTTATATGAGATGTTTCAATGTAATTTGTGGTCTTGAATATAGAAAGGTCGATGGAGTGGTTGGTTTTCACCCTCAATGAACGGCAATACGTTTCGAAAGCTTCCAACATCAGTTGTTGTTCGTTATATAGTAATTATTTAGTAATCCAAATAATTGCTCACTAATGGGAATGCGTTTTCTTGAGTTTCCTTCCTTACAATATACCGTATTTGAAAAGCTTCGCAAAAGAGCAAGGGATCTCAACTTCCAGAAGCATTTTTTGCTCAATGGCTGCCTCATGAGAACAGCTTGGTGTGCTGCTGCGTCTTTTGGTGCCAACTTGGCCATTCAAGAACATCTGAATTTAAGCCAATTTCCATGTCATTGATGGCAATGAAGAGAAGCCGTTTCCGAATTAGCCTAGAAATTCCGGTTTCATGGCTCCGACGAATTTTCCTAGCACTTCTATAGCCGCCCCACAAGACAGCTTCTCAAGTGTGCAAAGCATGCTTTTATGAATAGCGGTGCCGTGAGTGGGAGCGAGCGATCCTTGGGACGACTAAGTTGATTTGTCGTTCTAGGAATCGCCAATGAAGTATGCATATGAATCTCTATTGTTGGACACAGAAAAAGAAAGACCAAAAGCCGAGATTCTGTTGTTAATTCTTTTGTTTTATGGACAAATATTGTTGGTTTTTGTAAGATCTTCGTTCGCAACGTGATCAGATTTCAGAAATGGTCTTGAACCCTCATGAAAGTCGCTGTGAAGAATGAATGGCAGGGTTGACTTCAATAAACCACCTTGTTGTTGAGAGCAGCACAATTCTTCATAAAATTTCTAAGAACCTGTTACCCCCTTTGACTTCATGGAAAAGTGTTGGTGACGTCACAACCCGGCGAGGAAGCCAGCGACCTTTGCCACCATCACTTCAATACATTGAATGCAAAGGGTTTCTATCGTGCTCTTACTTCAATGTGTGATAAGTAGAAGTAAGTAGGAATCGAACACGAAGGACACTCAATTTACTCAAATTATTGACAGTGTACTCTTAAGGGTTTCTTGATTTTTCAAAAAATTCCACTTCCTAGGGTAAGGATGGTACCTGAACGTAACGCAATCATTTCGCTTGCGGCACAACTGATTGAACAAGTTGGTATAGTGCCAAAAACCCAGCTTTATTCAAGCAAAGTGGCAGCGGCGCTGGCCACTGCTCGCCCTTCCTTCGGATTTGCCACAGCTGCGACGTCATTTTGACGTCAACGGTGAGCTTTTCTCTCCCCCATTGCCTTTCACATAATTTCCAAATCCTAAATAAAAAGTTAGGAAAAGTTCATAGCAGAAGGATTGCAGTAATTTCTCAAGATATGCCAAGCACTCCTATAGCCGTTAAGGGTTGCAGAAGCGTTTGAATGCAATGTGTCTACACAGTAATTTATGAGTGTCTATGAACGTGCTTCCTGCCAATGCGCCCTCGTACTCGCGGTCTGAAGTGGAATAGTATGTTTGGCTCTTCTAGGCTGATTCGCATCCTGGAAGTGCAATGCGGCACCTTTGAACTGCCCAGCATTGCACCGAAATAGCCATAATTCAAATGAATCTCTTGAATCTCTGACCGGTGGAAGAGTCATGTACTAGAGAAGAAAGACATGGATCCTCTTCTTTATTGGCTGCGAAGGCAACAACTACTCCGGTCGAAGTAGCGGAAAAGATGGGTTATTAGGAAAAAAATTATGAGAGAACCAGAAAAGGACAGGTAAGGATGCCATTAGTGTGTAACCAGTGTGACCGGTTCCTAGCGCACCAGGTGAACCTTGTCGGGTTTTTTGTGCCTAAAAAGCGTGCCATTCCTGTGACATGGTTCTGGGGAAGGGGAAGGCCACTAAAGATTGGGTAGAGCCCTAAAATTTCAATTTGCTGAATTCGAGATAGAACTTCAAAGAAGTGTCGAGCGCGGCGGTCCAAATCATGACTTTATATCAGCCATAAATCACTGGCATGGGACTCATCATCCACGATAAGAATGAAAAGAACAAAAAAAATTGCATTTGTTTTGGTAAAAATTCGAAAAACCGAAAGGGCTGCTACGCGTTCAAAGTACCGCCGGACATCTGTCACAAATGCTGGCGACGGGAATGCTTCCACTTGGTTCTTGGAGTGCCTTCACTAGAAACTCTTTCTGGCCTTTTGACTTATTGCATTCACATCTCACACTTCTACTCCATCCTATTCTATCGATCGATTTGTCTCTACTCTCCGAAAAAAAGCAGGCTTTAACCGATTCCTGGTCTGACAGTAGCCGCCCCCAGCCGGACTTCTTTCCATGCCTCGCCTTTGGCTCCGCCCGAATTACCTTCGATTGTCCATAGAGTGGATTTTGTAAGTTTGTTTCTCTTCGGAAACCGAATCTTCATGCGTGAAACTTTGTGTTGCATCTAGTGATCACAACTGACACATTCATGTTGAGAAAGAAGTGCAAGAATTTTCCGCGAAGGATTCCTTTAACCCTTTGACTAGTGTTGGTACACATGTGTACCCTTCCTAGTCAAATAGTGCTACCACATTTTGTGAGCTTTTCGAGACAGTCGTACCCGTTCGAAGGCAGAGTTGTGCCCGAAAACTTTTTAACCCTGACTTTGAACTTCCTCACAAGTTGAAAAGATCACCCCGAGCATATTTTCGTGATGGTTAGAAGGGCGCTGTTGCCTTCTGCAACTCGAGTTTTCACATTTACTTGTTCATTGAACACAAATAAACTGTATCGTCGCGTCGATACGACTTGATATGACCTATCCAATTTTATCTTATCAACTGAAGCTGAATTTCGCCTGACTGTCAAAGACCATATGTATATTATGCATGCACCTTATGTACTTTATGTATATTTATTTATGCATTGGAAAGGTAGTAGATGAAATCCAGGTCTGATGGATAGCATGGGATTATTACTGCACGAATACTTTTTCTGTTTCAAAAAAGCTCATCTTTAAGCGAACGCTGTTGTGCATTTATATCTGCTGTGTGGAGGAGAGTATTCGTGACACCGCACTCAAAATTCAAGCACATCCATGAACTCGCACAAAAGCTCACAATAAAGCTGGGTAGTGAACAAAAATTACGGAACGAAAATTCACTTGCCCGGAAAGCAAGAGGTGCGGGTTCTAGTCCCGCCTGGGGCGAAAGTTTTGTTCACAACCCAGCATTCTTGTGAAACATTCGCAAGGCGAACTGCGGCCAAAAACAGCAGTTAACAAACAAAAACAAGTCTCACTAAAACAACATTACTCTTTTTCATCGTAAGGACCATCACAACTTGCATTGGTGCGAGCTTCATGATCCGTTTGGGGAGCGTTCTTTCATTTTTGCCAGAACACTTCCAGGGCGCTTCTTCAACTCATCCAATGTACTAAAAGAGCGACCCCCCCCCATAGAAAGTTGGATTTTCAGGCGAGGGGTTCCTCCACTCACAAATATCACGACGTCTCTTTTGAAAAAATCTCCATCATTAGCATACCAAGGCTTAATGCTCACCGCTGTCCATCGTCATCGTTTAGCATCCGGAGGGTAACAAAAATTTAGTGCATCATGACTGGCGAAACATCAGGATTTTCTCGCGGGGATATTTCGTAGATGAAGCATAAAAAGTAAAGCATTTGCCGTTGATCAATCCCTTTTTGGGATGCGGCACGCATTCTACTTCCATTTGTATTAGGTCGTGAAGAAAGTTCTTGCGCTTTTCGACCTTGATTTTCAAATGCCTGTATCTCGGCTCATTCGAAACCTTTTTGATTGGAGTAAAGACTGTTAGAATCCACAAACCTCTGCCAATAATAGCTGCGTTGAATCAGCCCGGTAGTGCAGAATACTGGAGCTCTAGAGACGATGAACCCGGCGGAGGTCGTTTCCGCATCATGTTGGTTTTTGAAGCATAACTCTTTGGAGAAGCTATCCAGGTAGTCGAGAAAGTGACAAATTATAGGCAAAAGGTCTACCGAGTAGGATGTTCGCAGGACTAATTCGTAGCCAATCTTGTCCAACTTCTGCAGGGTTGGTTGTGGAATGTGCGTCCGAGCTACCTGTCAGGGACGAGCCGGTTCCTTTATAATGA